GAGACCTGAGGGTAAGTCAGCAGAAGCTTTTATTTTCTTCATAAAAGAAACTGATGTGGCTGGCCCCACTGCTCCCCCCTTCTCCCTGCTTTGAATACAGATAGGATATCCGGAGCTGTGGTAACAATCTTGCAACTATGAGGGAAAGAACAAGAGAATCACAACACAGCAGACCCTTGCTGCGTCCTTTCAGACTTCTTGTTATGTGAGAAAATTAACACCCCTTTATTTAATCCTGTGATTTGGATTTTGTTTCCTGTAGCCAAAAGCACTCCTAATTCACACACTATTGCTCAGTCTAATTCTAGTTGGTGGACCATTGAGGAAATTCCAGCTATCTCAGCTCTGGTTATAGCCCCGATGCTTCTCTTCAGCACGGTAAAAAATTGAGTGCTTTCACAAAAGCCAATCAGAGAGCAGAATGGCTTAAAAAGGGAGACAAAGATCCAGATTCTTGACCACTCTGCAAGTCAGAAACCAGCTTTTTCTGGTGGTGGAGGTGGGGCTTGACACAACCCACTTATTACTATTACTCATTACTACTTATTTCTTACTCTTAAAAGCATCCTTTATTACTCATTGAAAGCTTTTGATCGTAGAAAACCCACTATTTTACTAATTGTTCAGATCTATGCAATATATATCTGTCTCAAGATAGAAAACATTTGCATTCTGTTTTCCAGTTCTGTGCCTATCACAAGAACATGGTTCTTAACCTAGTTTTCTTTTTAAGCAAATTAGGAGGCCCAGTAGGAATCATTTAAGGATTTCTATAGCCATATTGTTTGGGGAAGTACAATGAAGAGCCCATGAAAGACTACATCTCATACTTAATAAATACGCCAGTGTGCTGGGGAAACAAATAAAGGAACAGAGCTATCTCATTTGAATAAAGAGCTTCAATACAAAGTATAAACAGCTATGAGACTTCAGGGAAGACAGATAACTTCCAGTTGGGACAGTCAAGGAAAGCTTTGTGGCATCTTTGAATTAGGCGTTGACATTAGGTAGGATTTGATTTGTTGAGGTGCGAGTAGCGCTATTTCAGAAAGAGGGAGCAGCTTGAGTGAAGGAAGGAGGTGCAAAATGGCAGGGAGCATATGGGAAAAAGAAAGTGGCAAGCAGAGAGAAGAGCATTTTGAGGGGTGAGGTCCAACGAGATACAGTAGGAAACAGAGGCTCTATGTTGAATAACAGCTACACTAGGTGTAACAGAATAATTCCAGCTGGGTGGAAACAGTGGCGGCTACAGGACTGGAAGAAAAAGGAAAGTAAAAGGCATTTGAGGGGACAGTAAATCAACCCTTACTGAGTAGTAAACAAGCCTCTGTAACAAAGCTTCAATCGCCTGATCAACCACAACCACTTGGGAGCGCTGCAGGCTTCAGGACTCAACCAAAGTCTGTCCCTGTAGCTCCCTCTTCCGGCAGAAATAAGCACTGCACATTAAAATGGCTGACAGCCTTTAGTAAAAGGCACCTGCCAATCTCGAAACAATATACCTCTATCAGGGCCATCTTCATAACCTGTCAACGATCCGGTTTTAGTGAGGATTTTGCTGTGCTTTCAGACAAAACATAAAAAGTAACACGACTTTTAATACAAGCCACACACTTTTCACCTGGTTTATTCAAGACACAACCACATCTATGTAAGTGAATTCTCACATAGCATTCATTCAAGTGTGAAACCAAATTTAGGGGTGCTTTAACAATTATTCAACAAACCTGAACAAGTCTAGCATCTCTGTTCTTTAGACTGAGGACCCCTTGATGGCAGAAATCCCTCTCATTCATCACTGTATCTCTACCGGTTCTGACGTGTTTTTTATTTATCGGATGGAAGGGCCTGTGTATGTTCACTAGGGATTGTGTTGCCCTGGTGGCTTTTTGTCCTTGAGAAAATTATATAAAAGGTATTTTTCCTTTATACAAAATGGAACTTTAGAACCATGCCAAAACCATCAAAGAAAAAATGGAAAATGAAAAAGGTGCAGGACAGACTGCAAACCAGTATGCTACCTTTTCTGTGCGGGGGAAGAATTAACTAGTAGTTGCTGGTATACGCACTCATCATTAACAGATTTAAGAACCTTATGCCTGTCCTGCAGTGGACCTTTTCAAGATGCTATTGAGGTCTTTTCCCTGTGCTATGACCACTCATTTCTAACGAGCACCAGAATTACCCGCACCAAGACTCCCAGCATAGTAACCCCAAGTGGTTACAGGTGCTGGTGAGGTTCCTGGGGTTCTTGTAAGGGTTCCTGACCCATGTGTTGACTTGCATGGGTGAGTCATGGAAATTCAGCAAAAATAATGTTACACATGCTTGTGTCAGCACAAAGTGAACCACCACCAAAACTTGTCTAAAGTTTACAGACTTCTCAAATGGCATTAATTTTCCAGTTGCGATCCCTGAAGCTAGGGACTTAACCTAGACTTAAACCCTGTTTCAGCCATATTATAATGGGAGTGACAACACAAAACCTCCTCTACATCAGAGGTTATGCACAGATACCCTAAAACTGGGAGAGGGGGAGGATTGAAGGAGTGGTGCTCCTTGGAGAAAATAATCCCTTACAGTCCTTTAACAGGCCTTGGCTTTCTGGGGCGCCTATCACCCAAAGCCAATTGCTTGTACTAAACCTGCAGCTTCCACCTTTGGTTCTAGTTATGACATAGAAAGATAATTCCTTACCAGCCCCACGTGATTGGGTAAATGCCACTACCCTAAACTTTTGGAAATGAAGACCAAGGGCCACCCACCACCAATGAAGTTATATACAAACCTTTTATCTACAGTCACATGAAAATTATGGAATCATCTTGACAACTTATTTCAGCAATAATTATGTGACATTTGAATCAACAGCTTTCAGTCTCTAAACAGCCACTAATTCCTAAACATTCTCGTGTAATGCCTGACAGGTACTTTTCATTTAATACACATTACCTGCCACATTCTTTAGGAAGTCTGGTCAAATGATGACTTTCTACGCAGCTCAATGTGGATTTAAATAGAGCTATGTATTAAAACTGATTCTCATACATTCTCTTCCACCACACTCACCTTCTGTTATCTCCTTCCTGCTAGTATTCCAGAAACTTTTCCATTCTCAGGTACCTCACAACCATGCCCAAACTCAGTATTTTTCAAGTCAGTAGTCTACAAGTGTCTACATGTAACTGTACATATGGAAAATTATAAAAGCAACCTCTAATTTCTCACCCACTACAGTTCTACATTAACACCATCTTTTAGTGGTATTTCTTACCTCCTGGTTGCCATAGGATTGGGGTAGACTGAAAACCTTAATTCCTCACACCCCACCCTAACTAAAAAGAACCTAACTCAGGAAAAAAAAAAAAAAATCACACTATTTGGGTATGCAACAACTTTATTGAAAGGAAAGTGCAATGAAATTTGTCAGAAGCTTAAAAGGGGGAACTTAGACACCCCCCCTCAAGCGCAGGACCAAGTGCAGAGTAGATTCTTTCTGGATGTTGTAATCAGACAGGGTGCGTCCATCTTCCAGCTGTTTCCCAGCGAAGATCAACCTCTGCTGGTCAGGGGGGATGCCCTCCTTGTCCTGGATCTTGGCCTT